AATACAATAATATACAACAGATAATGTACATAAAGCAAAATAACTGTGTAAAAGTGAACACCCAAAGACGCAAAGAGACAAGCGCTAGGATTGACTCGCATAGGGAACAATCGCTTGTCCCCAGCAGAGTCGCCAGCTGTCGCTACTGCGAAAAACACCTAGCTGAAAAACAGAAGAGTCGCCACCGTTAGTTATTTATCCCAAAGAGAGGGAAAGGAAATGATTAAATAAAACCTATGAAAACGGGAAAAGACAGGTCATCGCAACCAAATCTTAGGTTCGGGAGTCGGTTACGCAAGGGGAAGGTATTAGCACCCCTCACGTCCGTTGTACTCAACGGGATCCACACTTGTTGTCTAATCTAAGGGTGTGTTTATCTATCTAAGCTACAGGCTCACAGGGTTAAAAGAAAAGAAAATGACTCGATAGAAGATCGTCGCTCTATGCCTACGTATTCCCTCGTACAATGGGAAAGTCAGAGTCAACGTAGTTCGGAAAACTATGGGTGAAGGTGGGGAAAGGCTGCTCGCTAAGACATCGTCGTCTTGTGCCTACATATCCTCGTCTGGTATGAGAAATCAGAGCAAACGTAGTTCGGGATGACACGACCACCGGTTGGTTCAAGTGTTTTAAACCGAGTAGGGTTAAACCTTCGTTCTAGCAGTTAGGGAAAATGTTTGTTTGCGGTAGAACCAAAGCTTAACAACACTCTTTATGAAAATGATTTTGCGATTAATCCTGGAGGATAAAAAGGTTTGATGTTTTGTTTGTGTTTTTTAGTGAAGTGAATTAGTTTGATTTGTGATTCACGCTGCACTAAAGACTATGACATAGGAACGAATGCGTCGCATATCGCCCCCAAATGGGACTTACACTAAACACTCTAGACAAGCGAGAGAAGATCCCTCACTCATCATTTCTCGTGTGCTTAAGGCTCGTAGCATACAACATTCATCGTATTTATTAGATGAGTTAGAATGTGTTTTGAGATTAGAAGAGAGACACACGGAAGGTCTAAGGGAAAGTTGGCCCTAACATTGTCATGCAAAATGGACCTAAAGTTGGGATAAAAAGGGGAAAATCTACCTTAATGTTAGCATGCTTAGATTGAACACCTAATGTCTCTCCTACTCCCATCCTAAACGGAGGGACTAGGAATCCTAAGGGATCATGGCAAAAGACCAAGAAAACACAAAGCAATTTAATCACAAAATGAAGATGAAATGCATACATGAAATGCAAACACAAAAGATGCGAGGATGAGATGAAATGGGAGAAGCGAGCTCCTACAACCATTACCATCTATCATCAAAGAAAAGTCGGAAGAAAAAAGGTGTGGGCAAGCAGCCACCACAAGCACATCTCAACCAAACAATTCTTCAAACTCAAGCAAAACAAATGATCATCACTTGAACAACATCTACAAAGTATGCATTCAAGTGGAAACCGAACACGTGTGTCGAAGAAATCATGATTAAACAATCAAGAACAGTGACATATATCCAAAACAAATTCACTCCAAATGTATCGTATTGATCCATGAAGATTCAAAGTGAGTGAGCACCCAAAACAAGCTTTAAAAACAACAAATATGACATTTTGGTTCAGTGTTAATCGGTTAACACTATTAGTTAACCGATTAACCAGTTAAAAATGTTTGAAAATTCGCACTGGTTAATCGATTAACCAGTTTGTACTGTAACTGGTTAACCGATTAACACTGTACCAGAAGCAGAAAATAGCAGCTCAAAAACACTTTTCAGCAATTAATCACTTATGCAATAATCCAAATGATCTCGTAATCAATTATGCATGAAATTAACACCAGAAAATAGTGAACCAACAACATGTAAACACATTCAAACATTGAGATCACAATTCACATAGATCAAAATCAACCAAATTAATCAAAAATGAAGATCAACATGAGTATGCAAATAAGCTGAAAAACAGAATCGAATCTAGAATTTTCAACCTACAAAGCAGAGATTTGCTTTGGTGAGTGTTGATTTACTCCAAATGTGTAGATCCAAGAAAGAAACCCGGAGATCCTTCAAGATCCAAGTGTGTTCTTGTTGTAGGAGTGAAGATCAACCAAAATTAAGCAAAAATAATCCAAATAAGCTCTTCCAAATCAACTTCCAAGATCAGATCCACACTAGCACGAAAATTGAATGGAGAAACGGAGGCAATAAGGATGAAGGATGAAGGTTTAGCTATAAAATTCAATGATTCCAATGGAGAATCAAGGAATTCAAGCAAGAGCTGTAATGAAGGTTTTGGAGTGAAAAGTTGAGAGCAAAATTTAAGAGTGAGTGAATTCTGAAACTGAAAATGAAATTATGAGAATTCCTTGTGTGAGGTTTAGAGCAAATCATTTGAATATGCTCTAGGTTAGGAGTAGAATGGTGGTTTGGAGTGTGGTTATGAAAATTGGAATGGGATTAGGAATGGGAATTTGGAGGGAATTTGGAAATTAACCAAAATTTGAAGTGGTTCTAGATCCTTCTTCTGGTGTAAAATCAACTTCACAAGTGATCAAAATGGACCCCAAAAGTGGCTGCTCTTAAAAACTCACGTGCAGAGCAAAATTTGCCTTGGTTAACCATTTGGGTTAATCGATTAACACCTTTGAAAATTCAAATGTTATTCCTATTTTGCCTTGGTTAATTAGTTAACCACATTGGTTAATCGATTAACACCTTAAAATTTTGAATTTGGCGCCTTTTGGAAGGAAATCTGCACATTTGCCCATTTTCTTGCACGTTTCACCTATTCTAAGCCCTGATAAACTTCTGAAACTTGCCCTTGAATATCGAAACTGTAAAAATGCTTGAGATGGCCTAAGTGTTGCCTCCTGAGCTAAAACTATCCTGCAAAATAAAATAAAATCGACCGCTCGATCGTTGGGCAAAATAAATGCCAGAGTTGATGCTCGTTGTTCAGTCTCTTGCACTAAAATGAAACCTGAGCCACAGGAATGCCTTGATCCCATGCTTCAAAAACAAATGCTATGATATGAGGAAATGTAAAATGCAAAGAAGCAAAAGCCAGTTAAGGTCAAAACGGAAGGGAAAATTTTGGGATGTTACACCAAGCTCCTAGGGTTCTTTGCTGGCAAGTTCATTGTGCAAGCTTGGTGATGAATTTTCTAGGGAAGTTCACTAGGAGCTTCGCACAGTGAACTACATGATGTTTTTCTGTTGTCTTGGTTTCCTTGCCAATATTATTGTGTCTTACTCTTCACTTGTTTTGTGCCTAAGGCATTTTCAAGCAATGAAGCATATCATCCAAAACATAAGTGATTCTAATTAATTTATCCACAAAAAGAATGAAAGATGCCAACATTTGATAGAGAAATAAAGCAATGTTTGACATCTAACAACTCTCCCCAACTAGATTTTTGCTTGTCCTCAAGCAAAGTATGCCTCTCATTTCAAACAAGAGGATTTACTCAAGACTAAACTTCACCCGATAATGGATAAAATGGCTCAAACACAAAAAATACAAACAAGCAATGGTTTCAACTGTTGAGAATCAAACAATATGCAAGAACTAAATTCTTTAAACAAACATTAAGCCATGCATCAATCAACAACTAAGTTTTTCATGAATGAATCACTCTATCTCTCCTCTTCGAATAAGGATTGAAGAAATTACGCGTTTGCAACCGCGGGGAAAATTTCACTCACCTAACAAACGATGCTAATAACAATCTAATTCATACAACATCTAACAATCAAAAGTGAAATGTGTCGAGGTGGTCAGAGTAGTCTCTCTGGATGTGGGACTAGGATCTCGGTTGAGGTCCTGATTGCATAGGGCTTGGACTTTCCCATCACGAGTTGGGTGTCCTGCCACGCTAGTACGGCGACATCAGAGCTTGATTGAGTTGTCCCCGTCGGGCACAAATTTCGCTCTTTTCATGAGCGAAGACTTGCCTTCGTTAATGTTTGAGCATTGTGCTTGCACCATGGCACACTCCTTTGGCCGAACGACCCTTCTTTGGGATTATAATCGTTGGTGGTCCATTCTACTTACGCTAATGTTAGATATAGTATTGTTTGAGGTTTTCCAGCATTCTAGGGTCGAGCAAATGGTTCTCTGTCTAGGTGTTCGAGGTGATAAGCCCTGGTACCTGTTTTTGATCTCACCCGGTAAGAGCCTTTCGAATTTGCGGCCAATTTTCCCTCGCACAAGTCTTTTTGGTTTCAGCGTAGGACAAGGATGCCTACTTGGAAGTCGCACTTTATAACCTTGGCGTCATGGTGCAGGGTTATTTTGTTTCGGTGAAGCTTCGTGGAGAGCTGCCTCTGATCGAATCTCTTCGACCAGATCGAGTTCTTCTCTTAATGCTTCATCATCTATCCCACTATCAAATGTATTTATCTATTTGCATCATACAATTGAAAAAGCTTCATACTAATATTTTGAGAACTTCTTTTTCAGCAAGAATATGTTCAATTTGTTCTTTTAATTTTATCACTATTCAATTCAGCTGGAGATTTGCAATTGAAACCATAATATCAATAACTTGAAACAAAAAGTCATAATCCTTATGCCTCAACCACACCTACAACATAAGGTAGTAACATTTTGGTTCATAGCCTCCAAAAATGTCATAATTTAACTTTTAACAGAAAGTTACATATCAAATATGTTGTAGAAAATGAATACCGACTTGGCGAAAGACTTTCTTTAACGTGAATAGAATGATTCAAAATTGAAAATGAAGAATGCCATAATATGGTTTTGAATAGCTTGAAGAAGTTGCTTGCTTCAAATACTTCAAATTCATGATTACTTGAAAAAAAGATTAGGAAAGTGGCTGTGCTTCATGCTGATGGCAATGGCATGTCTTGGTCGGCAATATCTTTGAGCTTCACGTAGACTTGACACTGTTTAACATCAAATACCTACAGAGTGTTATTATATGCCAAATAAAAATTAAGAAAAAATGAAGACATGAGTCGTACTTGCCTGCAACAAACATGTCATTTCTATTGCTGCTGAATAGTGTCAATCCTCACATTAGGAATGTGACTAATTGTATGCCAACGCTCTCCTCCATCCACTTTGTACTTCTCCTTAACTATCGGACAATCACTAATTGCCAACTTTACAAGAGAGTTGGGTAGACTCTTCTCTGGCAAACGCTCAAGACTACGGCAGCTCCAAATAGATAGATAGATGAGAGATTTGAGATGGAGAAAACCCTTGCAATTTATTATTCTTAATTTTGAACAATTTAACAAATAAAAAGAAACAAGATCTGGCGGCAGTAGATTCTCCTCGGGGAAGGACTCCACATTTTCAAAGTCATCACTAATTGCAAAGTATTTCAGAGAATTGACTTGGAACAAGCCCCACGTCTCCCTCAAAGCAACTAGCTTTGGGCAACTGTCTATATTAAGGAAGCTCAAGTTGGAAGGGAAGCCTCCCATAGGAAAAGATTCCAGTTTTGGACAATTAGACAGCGTTAGAGAATGAAGATTGCTGAACAAGTGTAGTGAAAAAGGCAAGGAGGGGAACTTCCATCCTGTTATTGATAATTCACAAAGAGAATTATAACAACAAAAATCCAAAGAAGGACATTCTACAAAGTCCTTGAAATCCAACACCAACTCTTCCAGAAAGGGGCACTTGATTAAACGATCCATGGAGAACTCAACGTACTGAATATTACAAAGGATAAACGTTTTCAAGCTGGATGGCAACTCATTTATCAAAATTTTATTACAATTCTGTAGATCTAACTCTATGATATTAACACAATTGGGAATTGATACATCTAGCATTTCACAGCCAATAATCTCCAATTTCTGTAATGAAGGAAGATGGTAAGGCAGTGCCGCTTTCAATTTGGGACAATGTCTTATAAAAAGCTCTTTAAGCCGTGGAAACCCTTCGATGCATAACCATTCCTCCCATTCAGACATGCAGTCAAATTTCAATACTTCAAGGAACTTGAACGGAACATTTGTTGAGTTATTGCCGAAGATCTTTATTCCTTTACAGTTATGCAGTTTAAGAGATACTAAGTTGGGTAAATCACAACTACATAGCCAAGTTGGAAACATATTGCCATTGTAGTTCTTAATGGTGAGCCTTTTCAGATTGTTATTTGGTCGAAGGGCCTTCAAGACAAACTCATTGTTTTCCACTATTGAACCATCAATTTCTTCTTTTTCAAAATCAAATGTCATGCGTATTTTTTCTAAAGACTTCTTATCTTGCAAACGGGCCTCAACAGCATGTGCTGGATTACTGACATTGTTCAATCCTGAAAGACGGAGTTTTCCTTGAAGATTAAGACTTTCTAACTCCTCAATATCAGATCCATTTGGCTCTCCCACAACAAAGTTAGTCAATATTTGTAGATGGTTTAGTTTCCTTATGTTCTTTGGCATCTTCTTTATTGCAGTTCCTTTCAGATTAATATGACGTAAACAATCAAGTTTACAAAAATCTAAAGGAAATTCAGTCAAATTAGAACACCCTTCCAATATCAGTGTCTCCAAATTGCAAAGCTTACAAATAGATTCAGGTAACCTTTTAATACTTGTCCAAGACACGTTTAGATAGCGCAAAAACTTTAAATTGCCTATCTCATCTGCTAGCTCTAACTCTCTGAGTAAATACCAACAACCAGGAAATGACAACATCCGCAAATATTTTAATTTTGAAAATATATCACATTGCACATTGTTATTTATCCAGGTGCAATTGCCACTGCGTGGGTCTACCAACAAGCTGTGTAATCCCTTGCTTCTATAAATGTGCTTTAATATTCTATCACCATCTTCTGAATCAAAAGACAACCAAATGTGGCGTGTCCATTTAGATATGTGATTTACCTTCTTATCATCCTCTACTTGTAAGCAAAACTCTCGAGACACTGATTTTGCCAAGTCATTGACAAGATCGTGCATGATAAAACGACCATAAAAATCTAGTGAGCTTTGGAAAAATAAAATTGACTCAAGAACATTGAATATTTCACTACCCAACTCTTCTTTACTTTTGTCACTTTTGTAGGAATTCAACAAACCATTTGCCATCCACATTTGGATTAACTTGTTCTTGTCAAACTCATATCCCTTGGGAAATATGGAACAGTATGCAAAACAAGGCTTCAAATTGGAAGGAAGATTATGGTAACCCAGTCTCAGTACTGGATTTATGCCAGTGTTTTTCTCTGATAAACCCCACATATCATCCTCCAATATTTCAATCCATTTACTTTTGGAGAATTTTGCTCTCAAGAGTTTCCCCATTGTTATCACGGCTAACGGCAACCCTCCACACTTGCCTACAATCCTTTTTCCAATTGGTTCAAGATCTGGATATTCACTCCCTTTTTTGTTGGGAAAAGCATGTCTCTCAAATAAACTCCAAGAATCACTCTCCCCCAGTTGATCTAATTCAAATAACTCAGATTCCATGGCTAATGCATTCTCCTTATTTCGTGTTGTCACAATAATCTTACTTCCAGAAGATCCTTCGTTAAAGAAAATTAGTAACTTCTCACAATTTTCCCAGTTTATTTTCCAGATATCATCTAGAACAAGCAAACATTTCTTTTCTGTTATCTTTTCCTGCAGTTGACATTGGAGTAGATCTAGGTTTTCAGTGTTTGTTGAAGAACCAAATGACTCGAGAATTGCTTTAGTGAGTCCAATAACATCAAATGATTCTGAAACATAGACCCAAGCTTTAAGTTCAAAGTTCTTTTGCACCCTGTGGTCTTTGTAGACAAGCTGAGCAAGGGTGGTCTTACCCATCCCACCAAGACCCACTATGCTGATTATTGGTGCTTGGTTGCTATCACTACCATTGTCTAAAAGTAAGAAATTGATAATTTTCTCTTTATCATCTTTTCTACCACATATTCTAGATTCATCCACCAAAGACGTCGTTGGAACTCTTATTGAAGATTCTGGATCGACTTCAAGTTCATTACGAGCATGTGTTCCTTCTTTCAATCCCAACACATCATTTTGCTTTAAAAGATATTCTAACTTATCTAGCAAGTCTTTTATCCTAGATTCAAACTGATTAGTCAGAGATGAAAAGAAGTGTTTAACCTTACTCTTTCGTTGTGCACTTGTAGAAATCTCATCCAACAACTGATCTACTTCATATACCTCATGTTTTATACGATCAAGCCAAATCTTCACATTTGGGTTCTGATATTGCTTTCTCTCTGCATCATCCAACACTTGATTAATAGAATTCAATGTGATTTCAAGTTTTTCCACCAAGCGTTTACTGAAGAGATCTTTGTATTCTCCTGAGGCAACCCTCTCAACAATGACTTGAATGACAGGTGTAAGAAATGCTCCTGCAACCATCAGCCCTGCCATGGCTACCTGTAAGATGGTAAAATGTTATATTCTGCTAAACATAATGAAACAATGTGTAGAATTATCCATGTCAAACACTTCAAACATACATTTTACATAAAATGTAAAGTTCTAAACATACATTAAAAATAATGGACTGTTTGATTAATGACACATTATGCTGTTATGATAAAAACAAGACTAATTATTTTCTAATTCAGTGAAAGAAACATCAAGTATAACTAATAAATAAAAATACTAACAAATAATATTGAAATATAAAAATGAGTTAGAGCTAAATTTAGGAGCAAAATGGAAAACTAATAAACTAAAAATATTAAGAACAATAAATATCTGATATATATTTTCTTTGGCTGTTTTTTTTTAATTATTATTCTCTATTGACAACTACATGATAAAAATGTGTTATTTTTTATCTATTAATTTGTTCTCCACCTACCATTTTTGTCTGCTATAAAAAAAGAAATTTGAATTTATTATCCCGAAAAATAAAAATAAGACTTGTAAACCTAACATCTATGTTATAAATGAAAATATATATAAAAAAAAATATAAAAAAAACTATCAGTTAATTTTTTCTTGTTAAATATTATACGGTTAAGAAAACTTATTTGATTAATTTCAGAAAAAAAAATGAATTTTTTTTATTGTTAATCAGTTAACTTTTTGATAAATACAATAGAAATTTTTACTCAAATAATCAACTTTTACAATTATGTCAAGTCTAAGAAAACTGAAATTAAACAATAAAAATCAATTAATTTAAAATCAAATTCGATTGTAGATCCAAATAAAAGTAGAAAATTTTCAACTAAAAAGTAGAAGATATATTTAAGAAGGGAGAAAGATATTACCTGTAAATATGTGAGAAAACAAATTGGGATTGTGATCTTCGGCGAGAGAACCTGAAAGTGAATAGAAAATCAGAAGCAATAAAAAATATAATTAAAAATTTGTGATAAGAGGAAAGAGAGAAATTACTTGATGGAGGAGAGTGGTTGTGGAAACAAAGAAATTTAGAATAAGAACTCTTAATTTTGGTTGTCGATCTAAATGAAAGTAGAAAAATTTCAACTAAAAAAACAGTTACATGTTTAAGAAGGAAGAAAGATATAATTACCTATATTCTACCGAGAATCTGAAAGTGAGTAAACAACTGTCATCAACTATTCTTGATGTAAGGAGTGTCAAGTCCAACTCAACTTCAAAAAGCATTTCAAATTGAAAGCTCGTGCTATTTGGTTCTATCCACACCTCCATTTCCTACTTGCCTCTCCCTCATTTTGTTTTTCCTCTCAATGGTTTTAATTATTTTAATTTTTCTTTTAATCATTTTCTAACATTTCTTCTTCTTTCAATTTCTTTTTTCTTTTACATTTTCTTTTCCTTTTTTTTAAATCATCAAAAATATTTAATGCCTTATTTTATTCTTTTTGATATTTTTAAAAAATTTTCGTCTCTTCATCTTGTGTTCACTAGTCGACAATCTTTCATATATATATATATATATATATATATATATATATATATATATATATATATATATATATATATATATATATATATATATATATATATATATATATAATTTGACTATATGTAATATTTAGACTTCTCCAAATCAATAAAAATCATATACCCGTAGTGTTGGTTTTATCTAATATTGTTCCATAATCTTGTTATCCATCCTACAGTAAACATTGTTTGAACACAGATTGGTGTTTAATATATCTCATAGTTTTGATGATAACATTAATGAATTTTGTATAGAGAATTTATATACTATAATTTTGTTCAAGTATTTATTTGTTTCAGATATCAAAATTAATATTATTTTAGAAGTAAGAACGCCTGCGAACACTAAAGAACGAAAAAGCTCTAAAGCATCAGAAGACTTTGATCAGCTGCAGAAGACTTTGAGCAAAGCATCAAGAGACTCTGAGCGAAGAATCAGAAGACTCTGACTCTGAGCGAAGCTAAGAAGAACCTGAGTAAAGAACATACGTAAAGCTTCAGAAGACTCTGGATGTACTTCACACTGCAAGTACAAAAGCTCTGATAAGCAAGTATGCTCTGACAAAGGATTACACGCTTAAAGCACTTTGCTGCAACTCTGATAGAGAAACTCTGAGTGAGTTAACTCTGACCTGAAGAACTTGGAACATCATCAGAAGTTCTGATGCAAGACGTTCCAGAAGATGTTGTTCAAATAAAGATCTGTTGGCATATTCTTTTGTCATCATTCGAACGGCTATTTCCTCATTCGTGCATGACACAGGAATTCAGACAAAAAAGATTTGTCAGAACATTCCTCTTCTGAGAAAGGAAAAGTCAGTAGAAGACAAAAAGAACAGAATGCACAGATTGCACAGTCTTTGAGAAATGGATTTCAAAGGACTATAAAAGTAAGTCTCAAGCATCACTTCAAAGGTTAACGAAATTGACGGAACTATTGAAAAATCACTTGGCAAACAAATCATCCAAACTTTCTTCAAGCTGAATAGTTTACTTTCGTTCTAAAACTTGTGTAAATCACTGTTGTAATAATAGCTTTTTAGAAGCACATCTTAAGCACAAATTGTTAGTTTATCTTTGTAAAAAGAATTCCTTAAGAAGACCAAGTTGTGGTCAGAATTTCTTGAGAAGACTAAGACAGTTGTCTTAGTGGTGAACATTGTAATCAAGTTTTGATTTAGTGGATTAAGTACTTGTTTTTTCTATCATCCTAATTGTTTTTTCTATCATCCTAATTGTTTTTAAAACCCTTATTCAACCCCCTTCTAAGTGTTTTTCCTACCTTCAGTTGGTATCAGAGCTCCGGTTCTGTAAGTGCTCTCACTTAACCGTGACAGAAAAAGATCCAGTTGGGAAAAACTCTTAATTTATTGTTCTTGATTCATCTTGGCTGCTGAAGCTTCAACTTCAACTTCATACAACAATAAATACGATGATAGAGAAAGAATCAGCACCAAACCTCCCATGTTTGATGGTGAGAAGTTTGACTACTAGAAAGATAGAATAGAAAGTTTCTTTCTAGGCTATGATGCTGATTTATGGGATTTGGTCATTGACGGATACACTCATCCTACTAATGATGAGGGAAAAAAGATTGACAGAAAGTCAATGACTGAACAACAGAAAAGAGACTTCAGAAATCATCATAAAGCAAGAACTATCTTGTTAAATGCTATATCTCATACTGAGTATGAGAAGATCACAAACAGAGATACAACATTTGACATGTTTGAGTCTTTGAAGATGACACACGAAGGAAATTCTCAAGTGAAGGAGATAAAGGCTCTGACACTTATCCAGAAGTATGAAGCCTTCAAAATGGAGGAGTCTGAATCTGTGGAAACTATATTCTTAAGATTTCAGATCCTAACTGTTGGGTTGAAGGTTCTGGATAAAGGATACTCTACTTATGACCATGTCAAGAAGATCATCAGAAGCTTGCCATCAAGATGGAGGCCAATGGTTACAGCACTGAAGCTGTCAAAGGATCTGAATAAGATCACTCTGGAGGAGCTTATCAGTTCCTTGAGGAGTCATGAGATTGAAGTAGAAGAAGACGAACCTTATAAGAAAGGTAAGTCTGTTGCTTTAAAATCTAACAAATCTGCTAAAGCTTTGTCGGTTATTCAAGAAAGCTCTGAAGAATCTTCCTCTGAAAAAGATGAACTTTCTTTGCTGTCCGGAAGGATCAATCAACTGGAAGCATAAACAAAAGAAGTTCAGAAACTTCAAGAGATCTGACAAACGTGATAATCTTCTGGACATAAAAAATCTGGCAAGAAAGAAGTGGTATGCTATGAGTGCAAGGAGGTCGGGCACTATAAAAATGAATGTTCCAAACTTCTGAAAGAGAAATCCAAAAAAAAAATTGAGAAAAAGAAGAAGGTTTTGATGGCCACGTGGGATGATTCAGATGCTTCTGAATCCTCAGTAGTAACTTAACCAAAATGCAACAACAGATTTGTGAAGTATGATAATGAAGAAAATAATGTAATAAGCATGATAATGAAGAAAACAATGTAAATAATAAAGGACAAAAAGAATAGGAAACTATTTGATTTTCTTATAAAGCATAGGAAACTATTTTATTTGTTTTGCTTACATGCAGAATCATGGCATATTTATATAATCATCCCATGCAGAATCATGCCTACAACATATGGTAGAAACATTTTGGTTCATAGCCTCCAAAAATATCATAATTTTACTTTTAACAGAAAGTTACATATCATAATTTAACTTTTGGTGCAATACTGAAAAATAAAGGCCAAAGTGCTGCAATTAATTCACCTATGAACAATGAGTCAATGACAAGTATGAATATCCATGAAACATATAGAATGATTCAAAATTGAAAATGAAATAAAGCTATGAAATGGTTTTGAATAATTTGTCTTAATGCAACACCGAAATTAGAGATTGTAGAAGTTGCTTCTATGCAAAACTTACGATGATGACGATGATATATATTTCTCAGAAAGACACAATTATTGTCAATAGAGAGAACTATGCAAATTGTTATCAAGCATGAACCACAACGAACTTGAGATGAAGATCAATACCAAAATAAGAAAATGATTGTATCGTTTATTTTCTCAAGTCTAAATGTTTTGTAGATCGACACAAGACACACTACAGAAAAGTGAAACTGGACAATTAACAGAAGGAAATACAAATTCTCATTAACCAGACAATAATTGAAAATAGTATAAATCCATATTTTTATTTATTTGCACATACTTTTGAATTGATGAAAAGATTAGGAAAATTATTCATGTCGATAGCAATGATATGTCTTGGTCTGCAAGATCTTTGAGCTTCAGGTAGTCTTTCCACTGTTCAATCTGTTCAATATAAAATACAGTGTATTACTATTATGCCAACATAAATTAAGGAAAATGGACCAGGGGTTGTACTTGCCTGTGACTAATTGTATGCCAACGCTCTCCATCCCCCTTTTTGTATTTCTCCTCAAGTAATGGACA